AAAAAAAAAAAAAAAAAAAAAGATTAATTAATAAACAAAGTAAGTTGTCTAGAAAAAAAATGACAAAAAAGAAAAACAAAATGATTGATAAATAGACTCTTAAATACCTTAATTATTTAAATAAACATCCATATCTCTTTGAATAACATATTAAATCTTTTGGTACATATGTGCTTCAAATATCACATGTTAAATTTATTTAATGTATAAATTGGAAAGAAAAAGAGATTAAAAAAAAATCAGGTCAAAAAATGATGAAGATGTTGAGTTGGAGATCTTTGTTAATTATTATGAGCACCACCAATTACCCTCCATTTTAACCCTAATTAATATTCTTTATTTTTCTTCATTTCCATGCTTAAAACAATGGGTTTTTGGACTTAATAATTAATATTAAAATTTTCAATTGGTAAATTGAGTGTTAGAAAAATGAATTAGTTAAAGTGGCATGAATTGGGGTTAGCCACATATTATTCATAGTCAACAATACATATATTGGACTAAATCTTTGATTGTTTATTATTAATATTGTAATTAGAGTTAACAATAAGTCCATAGACCAATGAAGTCAACAAGGGTCAAATGAGTTCAATGGGACAGTGACATTTAAAAGACTCGGCTCAATGTGAATGTGAATTATTGGGTTGGTTAAGCCTTAAGGGTAATTTTATTTTCATATTGGTGGATAAGAATGTAATTTGTTATATTTTATATTTTTAGAATATTTTTTTAAATAATATTTGATTCCTCTTTTATCCTTTTAAATCAAGTCCCTCATGACTCCTTTGTTGAAAAAGTTATCCTTTGGTAATGATTGATTGGAGACCCTAATTTTGTAACTTTTTATAATATATTTAAAATCCAATGAATTTACGAAACTACCCTTTGACTATTCGACTCACTCAACTCAACTTGCTTCAAGCAATGGGAAACACCGCAGCACTCAAGTACCTTCTATCTTATTTTCCCAAAAAAACAATTTTAAAATACACCCTACGACCTTTTATTTTCTTTTTATTTTTCGAAACAATTTTAAAAATTGTATTTTGCTGACGTGAAGATGACGTGAGAGTGAGGTAATAAGAAATAATGTTTATTTTTTTATAAAAAAAGAAAAAAAGAAGATGATTTTTGAAAAAGAAAAAATATAGAGAGAGAGAGAGAGAGAGAGAAAATGACAAAGAAAGGAGAGGAAGAAGATGTGAAGGGTCGGTGTCCTTCGATTTTTGGGTGTGGAAAAGAAGGAAGAGTAGTGGGCCCAGTTGTTGGGCCCACTTCCACTTTAGTGGGCAGTACAGTCCAAAAACTTTTGGGTTATTTCCACGCGTGGGGAGCCCACAATTAAAAAAATAGTTAAATATTGAGAG